CAAAAGAAGAGTAACTTGACAGATTTGGAGATTTTAGAAAATTCGTCTGCATTTTTTTCCAGTTTCAGAGGGATGCAACCTTTCATGGTTTTCGCCATTAAATGTCAATTGAAAAACTGAAAATGTGCCCTCGAGTGGCGGCGAGTTCCGCTTCTTTTGGATTCATTACGAAATCGCCAAACGCGAAAAACAAATTTTAGAAAAATATCGTCAAATCAAAACGAAAAAGTTTATAGAGATTTTATACGAATAGATGTGCTCGGTATAAGTCATGGAAGCTAGGTTTACAAATCGTTTTGCTCTTCAACGCTCGATTTCCGAGTAATATTATCAGTCTCGATACTTTTTGATTAGCCCTCGTATATATTACATCATCCGAGATTTTATAACGATATGGAATCGATCGAACTACGAATATTTTTCGCTGCCTAATCAATCATTTCTGTCCACGGCACTTAATGACTTGTGGAATTGTACACTCGTCGTATACTGGTGACGGTACGACGTATAGAAATTAGAAATCTATAATATTATAACGACCGACGACGGACGTTTGTATAGTTAATAATCCACGGAGAAAAAAAAAACAGTCACTTTCGTGAAATGGCCGCACCGAATTATTATAGTCATTGTTCGTGTTATTGTAAATACACACAGTTTACAGTATTATGAGTGTACCTATGTGTTGGTACCGTTATATTATGGTATCGTAGATATTATGGCCATAGCTTATGCACAATATAGGTTCGATTATGGGGGGTGGGGGGGGCGTAGCACTCAAAATTAACCATTGTCCTACCATAACCCTTAGAAAATGTAAAACTTCTACAACGTTCCTAAAATCTAGCATTTTTTTTTTTTTTTATTTTTATTTTCCATCATCCGCGGAACTGTTCTTGTTCTACGTAACAAGCAACCGACGAAATCTTCCGGAGGTATTAAATTTATTAAAACATTATGCGACTCGGATTATGTCTGGGTTCATTCCGACGAGACTTTTAGGCGGATATGTTAGGGGAGATTTCGTTAAGCCGCAGAAGGTTTTAAATCCCTTGTTCACAACACTTCGCATAATAATTAATTAGCCAAACATTTATTCGTACGAATCTACTATCGTAACCATATTTCACAAATGGTGTGCGGTTTTTAACGAACAACAGTGATAACAATATTAATAACTACGGTTTTATTGTTGGTTTTAAACACGTGCATTGTACATTACCAATATACACTTATTTACTTAGCTACAAGTCCTCTGTCCTACTAATAATATCAAGCGTCCCTAATCCCCCATAGGTTAGGTAAGGATTCACTTCTTTTTAAATTCATCTTTTCCCACCTCTCAAAATACGGTGTTTAGAAAATTTTAATATGATAATCGTGAAAAAATATTACAACAGAATACTTTTAGTACTGTCCACTTTCCGACTATTTCTTTCATACAATACTGACACGGTCAAAATCAAAATAGAATATGAGTAAAAAAAAAAAAATTATAATCAAAATTATCACAGGCGGTGTCCCAGCTAGTGTAAAACAAATATTATAAAATATATTATTTCAATTTGTTTAAAGTAACTTTCCTTGTTAGACACAACGATATGTAATATTTCTTATTTCCTTAACTTGAATCCCCCCCCCCCCATAAGTATTTTGACTACCGTTGCAGACTCCGCGGCGAGTTGCAAATTGTTTCCCGAGACATGCACTTAGTTGCGTTGAAATTGTAAGATTTCGATTCCAATTTGAAGTCTTCGGGCCAACTTCATGGACACGAATCCGCCGACATAATTATACCTAACAATGGTGTGACTGTCCGGCAGTCTTGTCCGCGCCAGTTCGCGCCCGGCATAATGCTCTCCTCGAACGTTTTCGCCTCTTTTTGTTCAAGGTTACAATATGATTGTTTACGTGCAGTATGTACAAAACTCGTCAATAAACGATTTTTTTTTTTTTTTGTTTTCTTTCCCTCTCGCTCTTTCGTTAATAACACTATTTAACGACGGTGCCGTCTATTGGCGGGTCGACAAAAAACCGCAGTGACCATGAAAGTAAAAAAAAAAGACTGCTGATGACGCGGCGAATTAATTATTTTATAGATTTAACGAGCGAACCGGGGGGGGAGGGGGTAGGGAAATAATAATAATAATTAACCGACTGTTACGTATTGTAACAGTTGCACTGTCGTATCGTATGTTCGCATTGTGTAATACGAGCGCAATCAAAACGCCGAGCGATTATTTTCGCCTATATTGTCGACCGGACAGAGTTTTCTCGGCCCGATGCTTCCCTTCCGAACGCGAACGCGGAAAAGGGGTAGGGGACCGGGTGTTTTTTTTTTTTTTTTTTCCTAATCGAATATAATACGGCAAAGGAGACACGGAGATCGTTAGATTAACGGACAATATCGCACTCGAAACAACCGCGGTCTCTTGAACGCGAGCGTCATCCCGTACAATACCGCGGCCCGGAAGAAGAAGTGCTCGCATATTACTCGATACAATTAAACGCGCGCACGCACGCGCGCGAAAACCAGAAACGAAAAAAAAAAAAAGCAAGTCGCTCCGCCGGTCCCCCGGCCCTTTTGTTTGCCCACAATCGAACCGTACCGTTGCAAAAGCGACGAGTGCGTGTACGCATACACGCGCACTCGATATTGCGACCCGCCGCAGTCCGCTATACGCGCGCATACTGAAACACGCCGCGCCGCACTCGAAACCACAACAAACTACTACAAAAGTACGCGCGGCCTATTACGACCTGCGTACGTTTTTGTTTTGTTTTTTTTTTTCCCCCGGTTCGTTTCGACTTTCGGAGAGTTTCCGGCCCCCGGGGCCTTTTGACGGGACCGCGACGAACGTATCGATTACGCCATTTTCGACTGCGAAGGTTCGGCGGACGTCCCCGACCGGTGCGCGCGGCCCGCCGCCCATAACGACGCGTACCGAACGCGCAGACGACGACAACAACAATGCAGATGCAGAAATCGAGAAGAGAGAAAAAAAAAACCGCGTTGTTTCGGTCGAACAATCGTCGTAACAGCGCGATAATATGATAATTATGGCCGACAGTTTTTACTTTCTACGCGATCCGGTGCCGGCCGATCTCGGCGGAACACGCCGCCGGCGAGCAATACAAACAACACGTAATACGCACGAACGTACGACTGGCGCGCGAGGGGGCCAGGGGGATAGGGGGGAGCGAGGCGGGGTACGGCAGTGCCCGACTGCAACGTTGCCGCGGCGCGCTTACAGAGCCGGACTCGGATGCGGTAACGCCGGCCGCCGTAATAACATTACCGCGGCGTTAGAGTCTTTGTTTTTTTTTTTTTTTTTTCCCCCGACCAGACTTTCACTTATATCCCATTAAGTCACTTCCTACGACGGCGGGCGAACGGGCGGACGTGGACGGGGGTGGAAGAGTAGGAGTACCGTCCTCGTCGTCCTCCCCCCCTCATTCCCTTCGCTCCCCCCCACCACCCGAACGCCCGACAATAGACCGCGCCGCGTAACAGCGATCACAATAATAATATTATGTAGGACGTGCGTATAGAGCGCATAACCGTTTAGCGTGTCGCACGCGAACCGCGGATCACGAGCGGAATATCGTCGAGGCGACAGGGGAGTGGGGAACGGACCGAAGGACGCCCGCGTGTACCGGTGCCGCTGCGAACGGCGCGCCGTCCCGGGCCCGAGCACAAAAATTTACGCATTGCCACACGCCAGCGCGCCGCAGTCGGGCCGCGTTTCGCCGTAACTCCGCCGTCGTCTGTTTTCCGCCGTTTTCCCAACCACCGCGACCACCATCTCCCCGCCACCTCATCTCCCCCACCGGCACCTCGCCCGTCCTCTTTACCTCCCGCCCGCCGTTTTCCCCGACGCTTTCGCTTTAACCGTTTTCCCGCGCCCCGTTTACCGGTTTTCCGCGCACGCGACACCGGCTGCGACGGCGATTCGGACACGGCGTTCGGCCGGCGCGTTATGCTACAGCAGCAGCAGTGGGTCCCGCACCGTCGCCACTGAAACCGCCATGGACTCGGGGCTCGCGCGGTTCGCCGTGCTCATCGTGCTGTTCTTCCTGTTGACCGGCGACCTGTCCGGCATGATCAAACACCTGTACGAAGACGCCGCCGGTCTCGGCGGCAAACAGCAGCGGCGGGCCGATGACGGCGGCACGCACGAGGCGGCGATGGCCAAGGCAGAGGCGGCGACCGAAGACTCTGCGGACGGCGGTTCCGATCCGGACATAGAAGGATTCGGTAAGCATACAAGAACGCTGTGACGTTACCGGCCCCGGAATCAGACATTTCGGACACTGGTTGTCCCAGATTTTCCTCCGGTTTTCCCGCTCGAAACCGTCCCTTCCGTCATCACCGTTTGGACGTTGGTCCGGATAATTTCGTTTCTCCGAGGCGTATGCGATCGCCCCCTGTTCTTTCACTTCGGCTGGTGTATCCGCTCGTTCGTCTTTCCCGCCGCCGTCCGGCATGTTTATGTAATCCTCCTCCGAGACCGCATTCCTGTTTGCCAGTAACACAGACTACCGGCAAAAAGAATAGAGCAAACGGTAACTCTACTGTTTTCCGGCGATCAACGGTTCGCACGTCCAGCCCGTAGATCTGTACCCGTTACACGTTTGCACGTCGTTTTCACGGGGTTTCGCCCGTAGCCTACTGCGGCACCCGTTGTCGCCTACGATACTGACGAATTTAATTTAAACAAGTGTTCGTCAGTAAAAATGCGTACCACGAATACGCACGCGAATACTTCCCTGGACATTTTACACCCTCGGATAAATCTCCGCTTCCCCCCTACTAGTTCCGACCCTCCTCCGAGAACGAGTAGCCGAGAACGCGAGCATCACCCGATTTGACGGTATTTTCAAAAAAATCAGATCGGACGACAAACAACAAACATGTCGGTGGTCAGTAATACGTCACGGCCTTGTGATTCGAGAACCTTGGGACCTTCTGTACAAAAACATTCGAAACTGTTTCTCTTCTCCGCGATCACCGACCGCAATATTGTACACACGTCTCCTTCTCCCCCCCCCCCCCTCATATCAACTTCAAATTGCGCGTCCTTTAATTTCCCATATTTTTGGCAACTGAACGCGTGTTAGCTGTTTGACAAACAATAATACCTACATCATTTTCTATATAAAACGGTAACCTAACGTACAGCAATTACTATACTTAATCGTCAAACACAACGAGTTCGACAAAACCTGTAAAAAAAAAAAAAAAACAATTGCGGCGGTGCAGCGGGTATACAATTACAATTTTTAAAAAAAATGTTGTTTTGCTTGCTGCGTGCATTTATAATAACGGTATTACAATGTATCGTTTTTTGTGTTTTTGTGTTTTTTCATACAAAACTGGTTATCAGGTTTACTTGCCAACGATTGTATAATCGTTTTAGATATTTATTATTCAAATACATTTATCACTCTAAAGTATTACGCACGTTTTTTTTTTTTTTTTGGCATCGAAAATAACACCAGTCTTTTCACTTTCGTTCTCGCGCGCGTGTGCGTATTATAAGTATTATACTTCGCGTATACAGGGCGATCCATTTAATTACGGTTTTTTCACACTGACGCGTTTAGAATACACGTTAACGCCATTTTCAATTGTCATCCCTACTCCTTGTACGCGAAATGAGTACCTATTTTGATTTTCAAAAGTCTAACACCACTATCGAGTTGTAGATGCGACGTTCGTTACCCTTTTCGACTATCCCGGTTCAAACGTTTACCAGCGTTTTAACGCATTGAAAAATATTCTCGGCTCGGATCTGCGTTTGAAACACGAGGTAGTATTGAAATCAAAAGTGTTTACTCGCTTGCGGGACGATAGGGACGACAAATGAACGAAAACGGCGTTAAAGTGCAAAGCTCAAACGGTTCAGTTTGTGACGAAACCGAAAATTCGCGTAGATTCCTCCGTGATAACCGCACCGGCCCTCGGCAAATCGGATCACTCTGTACAGCCCGCGTGTATCTCTACACGGGTGTAATAATAATGCGATTAGGTGTACACGGTTGCGATACAAACGTGTCGGCCACGGTCCAGCGGATTAACGTTTACGTCTTGTTTCAGCCAAATCGTATTCGGCCAGAATGAAATTGGTCAACGTCATAAAGGAATCGTGTTTACCGAAACTGATCTGCGAGCTGACCGCGTCCGCCAACCAGGACTCGCTCACCGATTCCGAGAGAAACCTGTTGTCGCTGATAAAGTATGCCCGTACAATGTTATCACCGTCATTATCGTTATTATTATTGTAGTATCGTTATCGCAACGACCGTATCGGCAGAGCCTGGCAGAACGCGCAATACCGGGGAATGAACCGAGCATACTAAATAATGGTAGCCGTTCGCGCAAATACCTCCTTTCACTCGCCGTAAAGGTGTGTACCGCGATAATAATATATCGGGCGGGTATGCCGATTTTATTGAATTTTTTTTTTTATCGGTTTTCCGGTTAAAAATTTATCGCGTCGCGGCGTAACCCAGATACGTCAACCTGATTTTTTGATTTTTTTTTTTTTAATTATCGTCCGTCCGAAACGACAATATTGAACTCGAAACGGAATGTAATTATTTTCTAATCGCCGAACCCGTATCTACTATGTAAATAACAATAATTCGTCGATAAGTGTCGTCGGTACGTTTTGAAACAATTACGTCGATACTGCGTTCACGGTTCGCGTTTTTTTTTTTTTTTTCTACTAACGGTTTTTATATCTGTGTACCGGAAAAAAAAAATAGAAAATTGATTTATTGTCTATCTAGCCGCTCCGTCGCCAAATAATACCGCAAAGACACTTTCCATTTCACGAATCAATGGTGTATAATAACATAATTAATAATTGTGTGTAGAAATCATTATACGTCGAATCGAAATTTTTTGTTCCGTTCAGTAACCGTTATAACCACGTATTAACCAAGTCGACAATACGCGTTGGTTACGTCGCGTGACGCGGTTACTTAATCTACGGCTTACGAGTACCCACCACGTTCTATTATGTCCTGATAAGTAAACAATTCTCGAGATTTACGTGATTGACAAACGAGTCCACGCGCACACAATACGGACTATACGAAATGAATCTAGTAAACTATTGAACCGGTCGTCATAGAAAAAAAAAAAAAAATAATAATAATACAAACAATCTGTTAATTAATCAAATATGTACAATGTTAATGGGGATAGAACAATACATTTTCGATGTGTTATACAAACACGACTAACCGCCACGACTAAAGAAATCGCATTATTTATTTATTTGTACGATTAAACGCCGCGGCAATATGCATATGGTTAAAAATACAATATCAAAAATGATAACAAGATTAGAAAACATGTAAAACCGAAATAAAAAAAAATATATATGTATATGTAAGAATAAATTAAGCGTATAACAGCACGTTACAATAAGGTGATGTACGAGATACAATAAATGCACTGTATTTACAACACAGGGAATTAGAGAATTGCGTCGGAGACACGGAGCATTCGACGTAACGGATGATCGTGACTATGGAGAAGTGCCGCGGGTAATTGCGTAAAACAAATAGGGGTTTCGGGAAATGCAGGAAGGACGTTGAAAATTAATATTGAATACGAGCTCGGGAGCGGCATGTGAGTCGGACAAGAGCGATATGAGAAAACGTTGGTCGGCCAGTAGTTTTGGCCGGCGCGAGGAAAGGGCTGCGAGGTAATAACGGTTCCTAATAGTAGTATAACAGTGTAAGAGAATCGGCGTTTTTTTTTTTTTTTTTTTGTTTATTTAAATGCTGCTAAAGGGCTTAAGAGTTTATTTCACACTCTTTCGATAATACGGTTTATGTGTTTCGCAAGAGTTGGGTGCCGGCCAGATATGACAGTTCCGTATATTCTCGCCCGTGAAGCGGGCGTACTAATGTGGACGAGTAAAGGTTGCGGCATTATATCGACAGGTCGTTAGATTACAGGGCGACGTGCATTATTTTCTGCCGGGGGTTAGTGGTTCTAGCGGCGACCTTACGAATACGGGACACTTAAAAAAAAAAAAAAAACAAATTAAACACGACGCACAACAAGTAAACCAAACTATAATCGCTATACAGAAACAAAATGAATAGGCGCCGTACGAACACAATAATCGCACGCGAACCGTTTTTTTATCTTGACGATGGCCGTCAGTCCAGTTTTCTTCATCCGCCGTTTCCGCGTGCTCTCGTGATTCGCACCGAGTACTATCGTTATCTTGCGGTGAAACGTTGTAAGACACGTCACACGAATAGTTTTTAAAATGCGTTTTCGTAATAACCATCGCTGGTTATTTACAGCGTACCTACGTAACTCACAACTACCATTGTGACGGTTCGGTTCAATGATGCCACAATAATACCGTGTCAAATGAGTTTCTCAAAAGTTATGCGTTAACGCGGTTAAGAAAAATACGGGACCGACCCGACGAAATGGGACGGAATGTAACTTACGTCTGTGCAGAGTTCAAATACGGGACAATCGCGTGTAATACGGGACGTATAGTTTACCGATCGCGCCTAAAATTATCTTTTTACACGCCGATCGCGTCAAAACGTTTTAGGGTCGGCAGAACAGTTGCTCACATTGATTACATTAATTACAATCGATATGTATGTGATAAATGATTAAAATATGCGTTTGACATAAGCATTTGTGTGATCGGTGGCGTAGCCAGAGGGCGTTTTGGGTGTTTTGACGGGCGTGGCACACATAGGAACAAACACCACTTATCCGAATACTAAAGAGCCGACTCAATTTGGCCGAATTTCATACAGCCCACAAGATAAAGGCCCAAATATACAATATTGATCGAAAAATAAACAAATCAGAGTCTCTTAAATAGTCAGAAGCATTTTTTTTTTTTTATTTTTTATGATTACGTTTTTCGTATTCCTAATAAAAAAATTTAAACGTTGCCTGTTTTTGATCCTGACATAACCATATAAAAATAGTTTATTTTTATTATTTCAATTTCAATTTGTTTCGTTTAAAAAAAACCACACAGTTCACGTTGCTACACAGTTAGACGTGAATTACTACACGAGACACGACCATAGACATTCGCGACGGACACCCCAAAACTATAATATCACAATTGTACAAAATGATCAAATTTTGCACTCAATTAGTGACCGAGCTGACCGATAGTTTATTTGCAATTTGACGGACGATAAAACGGTGATTTTGAATATTATTGTATAATACCTACGTACTAATCGCATAGATTCCCGCCATAATATTTACCGTTGCATTTTCGGCACACGATACGGCCACCGTTTCTAGTTCGTTTCCAAAACCACGTCGGCCCGTAGACTTCCCGGCTCTTTGGATTCGATTAAAAAGTTCCCGGCTAATTTAATTCGGTCCATTGTCTCCCGCATTAGTTTTTGTTTGTCTACGGGTAATTTCAAGAAGTCCGTTGTAGACCGCTAAACCCCGCTGGACCCCCCTAAACCTACCTCGTTGATAAATCCTCTGACCGCGCCACCGGTCGGGGTTATCTAGATAACGGAATACCGTCTTTTAACCGGAAAACAACAAAATACCTCACCGTCGTAAATATTTTTAATAAATTCGTTATTAGATAATACTTAGATATTGTGGACTGCGCAATGTATGCGTTGTATAATATTATTCTTATTAATCCGTTTTCTAATCACGCTCGGTAGTTAACAAAATAAATACCAAACAGCGTGATAATTACGTTAGGTTTTGTACCGTGAAAAAACGTCGTTCTCTTCCCCATTTTATGATAAAAATGTAAGGCGTCTATACCCTTATTACCGACCCGCTATTACGTTTGACGTTTAACAATACCGTGTATCGTTTCGAATCCGTTTCGCCTATTCGCCCGGACACTTGAAATTTTAACGCTACCAATCAGGTATGCTGTCGTTACGCCGATAATTAATTTCGTCCGCGAGTCGTCATTTGTCCTGGCGGTAAATCTTCGCGCAGTCCTCGGCGAAAAATCTCGGCCGTCCATCCCGACACCGGATCTGATAACAAGAGTCACTCTCGCGGACACCCGATGCGATTGCATTAGCGTTTCGAGCGGTTCATAGTCCGCACGCAACACGCCTGGCGTTATTGTGCTGCAGTGTCTGCGGACCCCGAATGCCGCAGGTTCGCTGTTCGCCTCCGCGGGTTTCACTTCGCGAGAGTCGCGCGCGCGTGTTATCTAACGATAACGAACAATAGCGCGCGCGGATACCGGATAACGTTTCGTCGCATCAAACGATTTCCGTGTTATCAGCAGTCGTCGTCTGCGATCAGGTCGCGCAAAGATATACGGCTAAACCATTATTTTTATATTGGCCGACGGCGGCACGGACGAAACGGTCGCTGTGCGATTTTCTTTTTTCCTCGCAGCAGTACTACCGGTATCACAGTGTCGCGAAAACGCGTGAGAATCGAAAATATGCGAAACATTATGACCGCGTATCGGCTGGTATTTAACAAGGCGCAGCAACTATCACCGAGCTTTTAATTTAGATAACTGTTTATTACCCGACCACGTATATTTTCATTTAAATCCACCATCCATCTTTCCCCGACCAAATAAATATAAATAAATAATCTCGTATTGTCGAAAAGTCGTTTGTAATTGGGTTTTGTAGCCGTCCAAATAAACGCGTGATTCGTTATCTGTTGACAACCACTTCGTTTCGAGACCGAAAGATAATATAATAACTACCGCCCCTCTGGAATTCAATTCGTGTACGCGTACAGAACTTTAAAAAAAAAAAAAAAAAAAAAAAAAAAAACAGGGCGCGGAAGAACGGAAAGAATAAGATATAAAAGAAACCCCCGTACGTGTAAAATAATATAGAGATCGTAAATCTTCGGAGAGAGCAGTGGCGACGATTGTAATAATATCGCGCGCGCTCGCTTATTATTCACGATCCCGGGGAAAAAAAAAAAACAGAAATAATAATAAGCACGTTGCCCGGAAAGAGTATAAATCTTTCACGAGCCGAAAATATTTAAAAAAAATAAAAAAACGCGCGTATACGCCCGAAGTACCCGAAAAACGACCGTACAACACGCAAAGACGACAATTATTATTATTTATTATTATCGTAGTAATTCACACTCGTACGCTATAATAATTGTCGTCGGCACGGAAATTCTCTTTTTTTTTTCTTCGACTTTTCTCGCGTACGCGAATTACCGGTATCTGTACTCTTATTGGCCCGCGCGATATTCGTTCGTAGACGGTCGGGCGTTTTAAACGTTTCTCACCTATAATACGTTACAATGTGTTTAAAACGTTCGAAAATCAAATTAAAATTACCGATAATATTATCACGTTCTGACGAGCGGAGGTGTTGATGTTATACTCGTCTGGCGAGATTTATCAATGCGGTGGGGGGGGGGAGAGGGGTGGAAAGGTACGGCGACCGAAATCGATCCCCGCTGATTGTATTCGTTATATTAAAATCTGAACGAAAACAAAAAACAGTTCATATGGCTCCTACTTTCGGACGGGGAGCAGATATAGCGACATTTCTCCGATTGCTCTAGTTTTTTGTTAAACAGAAAATTATGATAAAATTCCAACTGTTATTATGTCCGTGCCGAGGTATTGAGATGCGCCTGTCGATCATCAATAGACGAATATCAACTGTTCAAATGTCAAATTGCCATAATTTGCATAATTAATACATTCACATAATAAATAATTACCACGCCATTATAAATGTGTTTCTTCGTGAGATCCGTGTAGTTTACAAACTTAATCTAAACTCATCGCTGACGTCATTTCGTATTAATTGTTATTATTTTTTATTTCAACACAAACTAATACAATCGGTATTACAGTCAAAACTACAATTATTATTTTATATTTTCTTACGAACGTTAATGCGATTATCATTGTCATTCCGTCACATAACCGTTTAGCCTTTTAAGTGACCAACCAGTCCTTGCGGGGCTTTACTCTTCCATACTACGTGCTCCCCCGCTCTAATATCTATATACTAATATGACCTAATTTTACAGCTAACGCAACCGTCGCAACATTATTATAATATGAAATATATTGAAATGAAGAAAACAACCACGTTTAAAACATACACATTCGTTTCGAAAAAATCACATTTAAACGAAAAACTGTTTTTTTTTTTTTTTTTTTTGCAACTCTGTTATAATGTACCGCAATACACGATATAGTCGATTATTGTCATAAAACAATCGATTCATCAATACAATCGGCGGGAAGACACCATTAACAGTATCGGTAATAGAAACGTAACCGTGGAAACAGATTATTACTATATTAATAAACAGTTTTAAACTTTTCCATTGGGTCGGTTAACATATCTAATGAAAATATTCGTTGGCGACGTATTAAAAAAAGGTCGTTTTGCAAAAATGTGTACACTGATAATGAAAACAAAGTATTATCCTGTCGTCAGTGTTCAAGATATAATACTGTTATGCAATTTAATGTAACAACTATGTGATGGGAAGTTAAAACAGGAGGTGAAATTGGCAAAATAATATGCATGAAAAAAAAAAAAAAAAACCATTATTCAGTCGCATTATATTTCCATTTGAGTATATTATTCGATAATAAACGAATAACAATGCATACGTGCGTGATACAAATAATGCGTTTTGAATTTTAAATTCCAACGATATATGATCGAAACAATTATTGTACACCAGGTTTTGTAACATGTTTACGGGATTGATTTTTGTTTTTAGATAACGGCAGAAAAAAAAAATAACGTTATCAACTGGGCTCGTAACTTTTGTTATTTGCATATTTTTTGCAAGAGTGATCTCGAAGGTAGCTCTACGCGAGCTATACGTTTGTTACAGGCAATCACGGAGCTACACGCGAATGATCATGTTGGATATTTTTGCACGTATCGAAGTTCAAACGATGTTTTGTTTTATTTGTACGGTTGGCACTGTTCCGAAACCGCGTAGGGTTCGAAATATACTTGACGATAATAATGACGATTTAAACAGTCTGGAATATCTTCGCGTTTATTCGTTTCTATTAGCGTCCACCGCGCCTCAGTAAGGCGGTAATCACATCAATGAGGAATCCCTTGTAAATTGTATCACGTGCATTAGTATTTTATTTTCATAATTTCCAGATATTCCGGTAACGTTGTTATTGTTATAATTTTTCTGCTTATTTTATCGTTTGTACGTGTTTTGTACGTGTTTTCGAGAGCACTATATCATTGTCGCGCTTAAAACAACCTTTTTTTTTTTTTTTTTCCTCGGTATAATCGAATATCGATACCGTCCAAACGTTCGAATGATCGCCAAGGTATGCGGAGCCATTCCGTCGCCGTTGTCGTACCTCGGGCAGGTAGACAATTATGATATTGTAGAATATTTTTCGGACGTTTTTTTTTTTTTTCCTTTCTTTTCTACTATTAGATCGCCGGCAACAAAGTATACCCACACTATTGCGACGCGTCAAAACGATGTATAGAAATAACGTACCTAAAAAAAAACCCATAAAAAAAAAAATATAAACGCGCAAACGTAATCTCGATCTGTTCTTTGGCGCCTGTCGTTTTATTTACAGGCGCCAGTCGACGTTTAATCGCACCAGACGGGTATTATTAAGTACACCTGGGGGCCGTACACATTATTATATTGTTGTATCGTTGGCCGGCCGAGCAGTTTGAATGATATTATTATTATTATTATTATTGCCGTTATATTAATTTCCGTCGTCATTACCGTCTCGTGTATATTTCACCATCTGCATTATTACGCGAGCTGCGGTACGAGAGAAAAACTAGAAATTCGATTAGAAAACGAAAACATCACACGGCGATCGGGCCGCGACACGAGCCGTTAACCTCCCGCAGTCTCCTATAGACCGCGATTTCTTTTCGGTCGTCGAAATAAAATTATAATTTATCAGCGGTTTGAATATTATTTTTTTATTTTTTTTCGGTTACTCAGAGCCAAGTAGAAACTCTCTCTCTCTCTCTCTCTCTCTCTCTCTCTCTCTTTATCTATCTCTCTTTCTATACACCACACCTAATTGGTTTGCCGGTTAGATTTGATTAAACTCGTCATTATACCGCCATAACTTAAAGGCGTGTTCACTTTTTACACTCTTAAAATCCAAAAATTCGTAAAATACCATTTTTCTTTTTTTTTTTTTTTATAAATTACAAGTAGACCGTGGAAAAAAACGATATTATTCTTCACGCTTTAAGACTTTAAGACTTTGCACGCTTCCACCGTCGCGATTCCTCGCCATGTTTATCGTCACAATATCGTCCATTTATCTTAAGAGTCTTCAACCATCGGTTAAAGTGAGGAAGCTGAGGGGGAAAGAGTTTCCCTTCTTATTTATAACAAACTTATCAGTTCGATTTAAGTCTCAACGGTTTTAGTACAACGTTTTTATGAACAAATGTGTGTGTGTGTGTGAGAAAATCATTTTAGAAATATTATCTCTACAGTAGGTTTTTTTAAAGTCTAATTGGGTATAATTAGTTCCCGAGAACGCCCCTCAATTTTCGGTAAATATACAGTCCCCCTTCGAAGTCGTTCACACTTTAATTACTGTTTTTAACCACGCTATCCATCCATCGTTGACGGGGTCTCCCGCTCGGACGACTTTCGGTTAGGTTCTAAGTCATTTCGAACAAGGCTCCACAGTCCTAATGCCTGTCCATTCCTCCGATCATCGTTTCGCCTAAAATATACCGGTCAATATAATTCGCCTTGTGTTGCGCAGTCTTTTCGAGTCCGCGGTTCTCTTTATTTCGCGTATTACATTTTGCGTACGCGGTACGTATATTCGCATAAACGAGTCAAATTGTTTTTCACCGGCCGGTATAAACCGATGGAATTACCGTAAAAACGTTCGGCGGGTAACTACGCATACGGCATGAGAAACACGCGGTTGAACAAAAACATACGAACGTGCAAGACGTCTTTCGCGTTTACGATTTACAATTATTGCACTACGACGTTCCACCCCTCGCGTTTAAATTAAAATTCGCCATTTTTGTCCCGTTTATACACTGTGCAGGGTTTGGAGCCGGTAAAATCGAATATGAATAAAAAAAAAAAAAAAATATAAAACACCAGTGTCGCCGATCGCGCGCCGATCTCCGACGGGCCAATTATAATAATAAAGGAGAAAACGGCGCCGCCGAGGAGCCGGCGTTTCGCTCCTTTTGTGAATATTCAAAAGATTATTATTATATATTATTATTATTTTTTTTATTTTTTTCATTCCACGAGATCCTTATAACGGCGTAATCCTGCTGCAGGACGTGTACCGGGCCGGGAGAATCCTTTGGGGATTCGCAGTAAACGCGAAGAAAAGAACAGATATATAGATTGGAATCGTAATTTTTCGCTCGGCAAAATTAAACGTCACGTTTTCATATATTACATATTTTCCATACCGCCCCCCTCGCGAGAATAATGTCAACTTTTTTAAATTCGTATTCCGCAATATTATCATCCCGTTTTATGAAAGCCGACGATTTCGCCCGATTTGACTTTTTCACCGTTCCGTTCTTTTTTTTTTATTTCGTTTTTTTCCACCATAAAGATTCTCATCGTCGATAAATTATTATTATATTATTATTATATTGTATGCGATTTGATCGTTTTTTTTTCCTTTCATATTACTCCCCGTCGACCCCATCGTCCGTACAATAGAGCGACAATACGACGCTTCGATATTATATTCCTGTCAGGGGCTGGCGGTTCCACATACGACTTGATTGTGCGTATGCGTGTGTGTCTATGATAGAGGGGTAGAGACGCAAATCATTATTCCAGACACCTAGAAGAGAAACTCGCTTGTTTTCTCCGACATACGGAAAAAAATAGAACCATGGATATACTTTACGCTTGTGTTGTTGTTTCTGTTGTTACTAAATATAATTAACTATTACAGCGTCAAATGTTTCGCGTTACAATAAAAAAGGCTCGCAAATTCTCTACTGACCAATAGCCCGAAAACGTATCCGTGTCAGATATAAAAAAAAAATAAGAGCTTGTTGAGTACTCGGACCTATGTACTAAAAAAAAATGGATCGTTAACAGAAAGAGAGACGTCCGGGGATCGACATCGTTAAAAAAATATACCATACGCCCTGTCATATCTGTTTCTAAATGTGCTAATACTATAGGCAACATAAGGTAGGGTACGAAGGACGTGCGGAGTCCAGAAAATAATAATAAGTTTAAATGCTCGGCATCGCCCTGCGGCTATAAAGGACGTTTGTCGTCTGATCATTTTTTACGCGGCGTCTTAGCTCGGGAATCGGTAGTCGGTAATAATGGTCAAACCATGAATGACCAGAGGAATAAAATATGGCCGAACACAGCATAATGACACAACTACTGCAGGCAGCACGAAAACGAATCGACGTCTAGGATTATTATTATCATCGTCATTTTTTTGTTTTTTAATTTAGCGATCTCGTTAGATACGGTCGCTGTGGCTTTTTTTTTTTTTTTTTTTTTTGATACGTGTCTATTTGGCTCTAACGAATCGGATATTTTTTTACAATTTTTTTTTTGTTTCTTATAGAGACACGACCATTTCCACCACGGCCGAAGTGACGTCCAAGTATCATTTCGCCGCGCACATGGGCCAACTCATCAACGGCATCGACAACGCGGGATGTCACAATTTCTATCCCGGATGCCCGTTTCCCGGTCTTCAGGTCATGCAAATGATGAAGAAAGTGAAAATCTTATAAACGCATCGACTCCAACGAATCTAGTCTTTAAATAGGTGTATTTATGGGTGTACACCGTATTATTATATTATAATTATTATTACGTAAATTATTCGCTATTCGGACACAGCCGAACGAGTTTCCGCCCTCGTACCCGCGGTATCGGCCGAAAATTTATCGACGTGAATATCGAACCACGCGTTGGATCGCACAATTTTCATTAAATAAATATAATAACAATATTACGTATTTATATTCATCGTGAAAATCGATTATTATAATATATTATTTATAGGAAAAAAAAAACAACAATAATAATAATAACATTAATTGTTATTATAATAAATATTATAATATACGCGTTTGTAAGATTAAAAAATTTATAATATTTTATTATCATATTACTACCTTTAACGAGCCTGTTTAACTTTATATTTATTTATAATAGATTTTATACGAGCTGCCACTTATATATTCGTATGTACTTCAATCACACGATATTCTATTATATTACACCTATGTTTAAAATTTTTGAATAATTAAACAATATAATAAGTTAAGGTTTATTATTTTTTTCGTACGATTATTATAATGTGTACAAATAAATGAGCGTATTGTCGTACGATTTCGGTACGATGAAAAACCACGTAAAAGAAAAAAAAAACCGACCAAAACGACTTAATCTATATACAACCGTCAAAAATGTCTACAGAATACCTCACGAAAATCCTAACTGAAAAAAAAAAATTTTTAAAAAATTGTTGATTTTCGGCAGCGTGAAAAAAAATTATTAAACAATTGAATTTAGATAAGTATTTAAAAAAATAATAATACACACCCACGATTATCGTAACAAAAAGAACTTTCGACTCGACGGACAACTATTATTTTGTTTTTTACGCCGTCAGTGTAGTGCTTGTGTCCGGCGATCATGAAAATTGCGATTCTATTGGATCGATTGGATTTTTTATTTTATAATGTATCAATAAATTAGCGAAGTGTTTAGATTAGAGACCGGGTTTATATGCTCTTAAAACCCAAGCGCTTAAAAACGTAACGTAATTAAATACAACTTCAAATACTTCAAAAATGATTAATACAAAATAATTATTTTAATAATGTGTGCAATTTCGTTTAAAACAAACGAAACGACTGTGTGAACTATTTGCGTAGCGTTGAAAAATTCAGTTCGGTATGATAGAGCCGTTGGGGAGGAGACTTTCGAATATCTTTAACGTTTTGTTGCTGTTTTAAATATCTTTAAGTGTATTTTATTTTAGAGATTTTTTTCTTCACGTTTTAAGCGGGTTTTTTTTTTTTTTTTTTTGAATCTTAAGAAAATATAATTCCGGGCTCTAGGTATGACAGAATAAATGTACAGCTAATGATAAATCACGAAGCTCGGGCTCTCCGGTATTACGAGGTCCTGGGAAATTTGAAATCCGTACGTTTGTCGTACGGTAACCTGTTGCCGAGCACGTGGAATTCGCTGGCGGCCTTGCCGGGTCGGGACGAAGCGGGCCACGACCACTGTGTGGGAATTTTGATTTTGGACGGTCGCCCGCCGCCGTCGTCGGCTCCGTTGTTGTCGACGAACTTGATGACCCCGTCGGCATAGTACGCGCCTTTGTAGTTGCCGTACTTGTCTAACTCGGCGCGCAGCCCGCCCGTCCCGGTCCTGTCGGGAAACACCATTTTCACGTTTTTGGGCCGCCTGTCGGCGCCGCCGTTATCGAACGACGGGAACGCGAACTGCGACACCGAGTTGGCCGCGCCCGCGTGATGGTCGTCCGACGGGAACGTCATTGACGGCCGGGTCGGGACTTCCAGGGCCAGGTCCTGGACCGAGGGCAGGTCGTAGTACTGGGCGGGAGATCCGCTGAGTATCCGCGGCTTCGGGAGGCCGTAAAAGTCGTCCGGGAGCGAACGGTCCGAACGGGTCGTGTACTGGTCGCGGTTCGCGAAATATTGGCCCGGCCGTTGATATCCGGGAGCGTACTGCTGCTGCAAGGAGTAGTACCGGTTCGGGGGGGGTCGCTGCGGGTACGGCGGGGGCTGGTAGTACGGAGGCCGGTGCGGTTGGGTCGGCTGCTGTTGCGCGTACTGGGGCACGAACTGCGGTAGCTGTTGGTTGAAGAACCGGAAGAAACCGCCGTTGTGGTTGTTGAGGTAGTTGATCAGCTGGTCGGGATCCCTGGGACACGTAGGATAGGCGGTGTGACACGAACCGGGATCGCCGCGGGCGTTGTACCCCAACAGCGCGGCCCGGCCGAACATCAGAAGCGGCGAGTCGTCCACGAAGTTCAACACCGTGAGCAAACTGAAACACGCGCAACCTGCGTTTTATTATTACTTCGGGACGAGGGGGCAGATATGCGGGCGAATGTTTTCCATTAAAAAATTTATATGTACCCCGTGAAAAATGAACGCATGCAACGTTATATTGTTGCCATTGTATAACTTTGTCGGAGGGGAAAAGAATTGAGGTCGATTTTTGAAATTATTTTTTTAAAAAAACCTGTTTTTTTCTATAGTCTGAGGTCGAAACGATACGGTTTTCTTATTGTTCTAATTATTATTCCGAGTATGATGTTCAATACGTCGTTTAAAAGCCACGACTAATTCGTCGTTTTTAAATCACTCAAATGTTTCAAAAAACGAACTTAAAAAAAAAAAAAAAAACGCGTCGTCTTGCCCTCCATAGGCGCAACTAGAGGCCAAACGCTGATGGTGCTAAAATTTTGTAGAGGAAAAGAGCTCGCGGGACCTACGCCGCCACACCCCCAAATACCACATTTCAATTTTATAATTACTTATAGCCATTCTTAAATGCACAGTAAAAAGATAAGCACAGTGATATTTGAGTTTATAAACGGTAATAAATCTGATAAATAGGTATTAGGTATATTATATTATTTAGGTGATAGAAATAGTGACTATAAGTAGAAACAGATGAAAAAAAAAAAAAAAAAAAAACTATTTTGTTTAGTGACTTATGTTAAAATAACTGTACAAGTTAAATTTTTTTAGCAGTTCCTTGTGCGAGGTAAATTTCATAATTAAATCTATCAATAATTCAACATAATATGTCTATATTTGCGTGTATCACATCGTATTCATATTACTACCGGAATAATTTTTCAGTACTCTTTAGTATTTCATTTACGTCTGAAACTCGGATTTTTATCATAAACCGATCAACCGTAAATTCATACAATCGCGTACGGATATCATTTATAACCTCACCTCCCCGAAAACACGTATCGGTTTCACTATCAGTAATTAGAGGTATGCCTATTGATTGATACTATTCGAACGATAATAAATATCGCAAAACCACGCGCTGGCTAATAATGTTCGCAATGGTATTAAATTTTGTTTATTGTACGCGTATTTAATCGAATCGCAGTAAATTGTGTTTCTTAAATTTTCTTTTATTCATTGCCGTTTTTACTTTCGTATTTTTCCGAGTTGTTTCATAATCGTTGTTTTAAACTTTTTCAATAGTATTTTAAGTTTTCTTCATCGGTATAATAGTAGTGGTTCTCTTTTTTTTTCATCTTTTCGTAAATCTTTTTTTTTTCCCTTTATGGTTTTTTCCACGGTTTATTCGCACGCGAACTCTTCGAGCCAAGACTGCCGGTAGCTGCGGATGACTTCAAGGAACGAAGATCGGGATTCGGTGATCGTATTATATTAAAGACAGTCATATTATGGATTTCAGGTAAGGCTAGGTTAATCGACACAGTGGATTAGGCCTACTCGGGGACACCACTATAAAAAAAACGCGCCTCGTGCAAGACCTCATACGCTTTTCGAGTGACGTCAAATATTCGTAATAATATTTCATTGGCGTTTGTCGATAGCCAAGGTGGTGCGGAAAATTGCACACAGGACTTATCCGTATTTTTATTGTAAACATTCGATAAGATTCGATATTTTAGCGATTATAAATATATTTTCTTTAATAATATTCGATTAATATTGTACCGATTTTCCCGTTTTATCCAGGCGTTCAAATTTGATGATAAAATCGAAAAATTACCTCTCTTTAGTACTTCCTCAGTCCGATTTCAATTACAACTAAACATTAAATTACCTATGACTGAGGCTGTACCCATCTTCATTATCCTAGGACAGGTTGTTTTCACACTATTTTTCAATATTTGTCGTTTTTGAAGTGCGGGTGCTAAATTAAAGTCTAGGGCACCGAAGCAGCCGCCCAGTTGAGCTTACGTTGCTCTCCGGCATAATATATTCTCTTTCAGTTTTATTATAGGCGGTTTCACTCTAAAACCAAAATTGTGGGAGTTCGACGCAGACTGCGAATAAAAGTTGATTTCGCAATATTGGATCGGGATAGCACATGCAGAACGTCTGCTTTACTTTTGAGTTTGTTTCTAGTTTTGAAGTTTTTTCTTTCCTCCTTGTAACTGTTTAAAATTTGAACACTTGCTTTTTCGCTAAATTGTTTAACGATTCATGTATTATTACGACCGTGCTTGCAAAAATCACGTAAGCAGTAAGTAAGTGTCCGGCAATAGAACTTCCGTTGTAATAATCGATTTTGTAGTTTTTGATTAATATACGTTTTTTTTTTTATTATTTTTTTAATTATATATATTATATATTACGTCTTGTTTATCGAGTAACGAGCTGTTTCGAACTATTGTCCTGTAATATTATAATCGATAATTTTTTATAGGTTCCATAGGTCTTTTTTCTTTTTTCGATTACAATAAAATACTATCACGCGTACTCGCGCATGTTTATCGAATCGTACAACATATTCACCGATTCGTACTTTACGAAATGCAAACACACAGAAACAGCGAAAACTTATGACCGTATGGATTCTTAATTACGCATCACATCAGGAGCGGTGTACGTTAATTTCACTATTCGCTAAAAATCGGCGGCGCGCTAAACAGTATAGCTATACGATAATATCATTGGTTTTAATAAAACCGTGACAATTATTATCGCATTCGAAATGTAAACGCTATTCTTCTCGCTCTCTCCCTACTCCAGCCCCCCCCCCATCCCATCCACCCGTCCACCCCGGTTTTTACGATAAAAAATGTACAGGCATCGAACCGGGGAAATGACCTACTTATCAAAAAAGTACACGCCACATATGGCGTTCAACGATATAATGACCGTAATTATTATTTCAGCCGTTTATTTAGAATCGCTGCTGCGAGCTGAAACGTGCGTAACAAAAACGAAACCCCGGTGCCGTCGTAAAACCGAATCGTGTTCGCGGTCGGCTTTAGGGGTCTCGCCGTTGAAATATATTTCGTTTCTCTGTCTGTCTCGCGCCTAATTAATTAGCAACAAAAGCATTGCGATCTTTCTGGTCGCGTTTCGGGCAACGAGACCTGTTATGTACATGCATAAATGCGTTTGATAAAGAAGAGTATTTACCGCCCGTATTCGGGTCGGACGAAAAGTGTTTTTTTTTTTTTTTTATATTTTTAATTTTTAATCAGAATTTATGTGTTTAAATTTGTTATTGTTCGTGACCGTGTTAATAACGCACAGGGAAACGAAAATATGTAATCATTCATTCGTAAGACGCGCGCAGTAAATGACTATTCACTGACGAATCAACTAGATCGAAAATACTACGAAAAAGTATCTTTTGTCCGGGGTTTTTTTTTTTTTTTTTTGAACGGAGCAACATTTCATCGGGTAGCGGAGTAACAAAGCGCACTTTATACAGTAAAAACCGACGAACTCTTAGCGTGTAACGCTCAGAATCTAAACGAAAAAACACCCGAACTTCACGCGTTGTTGTTCACGGCGTCGCGTCCGTATTGCGCAACGGAATTTCGCGGTGGGACGACATCGTTCGCGTTTGGAAAGTCGAAAGATATTCGAAAGATATTCGTGAATCGGATGTGCGTGGGCCGCGTATAGAGTAAAAGTGCGCGCGGAGATTCGCGAACAAACACGAAATATGCAAATCCGGCCCGCGTGTCCGGCGGCTTCTCCGCGATCGACACCCAAACGCCGCGCGCCTACGCAGCCACGCGTCCGAACAGAATAGAAACGAAAAACGTGTGTCGTTCGCGACGGTGACGTGTCGCCCAAAAGTCGGACCCGGTTTGCGGTTTCGCTCGCCAATTAACCTGAGTAAGAAATCGACTTTTCACCGCCGCATGACCGATCGCGATTAATGTATCCGAGATTTCTGTCGAACGAGTATCGTGCACTTAAAAAATAAGTATTTTACGAATGTTACGATGGTACACGGTGTACGAAAGAAACGTGTTAAAAAATACAAAAAAAAAAAAAACAGACATCGTTCTAGGTGTGCCGCTGTAGTGGATAGAAAGTTTGGATAAGGCGGGATACTTGGAGTTGATAAATTTATACGAGTACGCGATGATAAACCATCGCTAACGAAATACGATTCTGAGCATAAAGTTCTCGGCGTGTTCGGAATTGTCGTGGTTTTTTAACGTAAAAAACCGTTCGTAAAAACTACCACTTTACGTTCGATTTTTTTTTTACCAAAGTTACGGTTGTACTTGTGGTAAAAACCTTTGATGTCGGGCATTTTTTCTCTGCCGAGCATTCACGTAAACGAAACTATAACCAAAACACTCGATAATAGCAAATGCCTAAAATTTAGTTCAAAAATCAATGAAATGTTTAGACAATTTTTCCGTGTTTAGAAAAGGCTAATATGAGTAGTATGTACAAATTTCAGGATGTGATTGTGATTCGGTTAAAAATAACCGAATCACAATGTACTCGTATAATATTCGGTTGGAATTGTAAAGTCGACACCGAACGAAATGAATTTGTACGAATCTACGAACAAAACGTGCAATTTTCGACCTTTGACGTATTATGAAGATTAACTGTCTTTTGAACAAACCCCATGTCGGATCTACGTGGCAGATTCTTCTGGTACTTTTCCCAATTATAATAATAACAATAATGTGTCGACCGTCACGTTTCGCGCGTCGCGTTTCATGTCGGCACACGGTCACAGCAGTCTGAAGTTTTTCGGACTTACCGGGACCAGGGGCGGCTCCGAGCCCTAGAGGCCGCGGCCCCCCTAGTCCATATTTTATGTTAAAAATAACTTTACAAAAATAAAAAAACCGATATTGTACTATCGATTATTACAAACATGTAAAGTGTGTAGTCGGTCTGTACTACGAAGTATAAACTGACTATAAAATATGCTTTTTGCCGTAGAGTTTTCTAAAAAAAATATGACTTTTTATATGATTCCCGTCCCCCAACCGAGTCTCTGGAGCCGCCCCTGGTCACCGCCGTATTTGTCCGGCATGCCGAAAGCCGAGTTCGACGTGAGTTTCGTCGACGAAACTCGCCGGGGTCGTTTGAGTATCGGCGCGCGCGTGATGGCGGCGGCTTTTCGGCGCAGGCGGGCAACATAATAACGTACGGTTTGGAATTTGCGAATCGTTTTTAAAAAGCCGTTTAAAAAACGATAACAGCGACGCTGTTAAACGCGCGCCGTCACGTCGTCGCGGTCGAGGTTAGCGCGACGGCGGCGGGGCGGCGGACTACGCGTTTTTCCGCGAGTGATCAACGGCGAAAGGGTTCCCGAGGGGAATCATATCGGGCGGCGGCGGAGACATCGTTAATCTGTCGGGTAGAAAAAAATAAAAAAAAAAAATAATATGTTTGTATACCGTTTGACGGCGGCGGACCTTTTTTCTCCGCCCGACCCCACCACCAGCACCACCACCACCATCACCCCCCCCCCACGCCCACCCGGGCAGTTATAAATCACATCGAAATAAACAAGCGTTCGACGGGAAAGCGCCCGGTTAAAAAAAACAAGTTAATTTCGATTTAAGCCCCGCTAAGCGAATAACGTTCGCGGGGCGCGTGTCCCCTCGTCGCAGCCGCCGCCGACGCCGCCGGAGCGTACTCGGAACGGCGCGGAAAGCACGTCTCGGCGCGTCAAAGACGGTTTTTCATTTCTTATCTGAACGGGCCAACCGATCGGCTCCGCGGAGATTTATCGACGGAGCGACACGCGCGGGTCGCACGTAAATAACGTAATGTATTATTGTCGTGTAACGCGACGACGTCGATTGATATACGACGCGGCCGCGCGCACGGCCGGGGCCGACCGTAAACGCCATAGGCACTCACGTGATCAGCGCGTCTTTGGACAGGAACGGTACGGACGACTGCTGCTGCTGATAGTATTGGCCGGGCCGGTAATAACCGGACGACGACGGTCTGGCGCCGGACGAGACCTCGCACAGCAGCCTGGGCACGCACCTCAGGTCGTCGTGTTGCGCTATGGACGTCAGCGCCTGCACCACGGAACCGGACTGCTGCGGGTACTGTCCGAGTCCGCCCGGATAAGGCGGCGGTACGCCGCCCAGGAATCCCGACGGCCCCGGCGGGGGATACGGTCTGCCGCCGTACTGCGGCTGTTGCAGATAGGGCGGGCGGCCGGTCTCGAAGTAATCGGCTACGGGAGGTCGGTTGTTGGGTCGGCCGGATACCGCGGACTGCTGACCGTCATCCTGCGCCGCCGCCGCCGCTAGCTGCGAAGAATACCTGGCGTCCGTGCTCAGAACCGTTCCGATCATTTGCGTCAAAGACCTGCCGGACAAATCGTAATCGGTTAAATCAGCCGTAGGCACGGTGGACGCCGCTTATAAGACTCGCGTCGGGACCAGCACACGGTGAGTCTTATAGCCGGACGAACATGCTTATAGGCGAAGCGGAGAGAGGATATAGAATGTGATTGGATACGTCCGGACCGTTCCAAGTGATTTTGACCCTTATAAGCGGTGTCCGCCGTACATATCATATAATTTCAATTACATTTCGAATTCAATACTGGACGTTAAACTTCGTACTTATAACTACGTAATTTCGCAAAAAACTAAATGCGTGTAAACATTCGATTATTTCTGTAAAATTTCGCATAATACCTACCAAAAAAAAAAAAAAAAAAAAAACCCACCTCGTAAACGTCAATTGCTTATTAATTGCTCGGAAAACGCCAGAACGTTTTGGAAGAACCTTCTAGAAAAAACTGATATAAGTATTCTGTACGAATTTCCGGTATATTTTCAACAATCGCATTACAACGAGAAATCTAATATCGATAACGCCGCACACTTTGCCGTATCCCAGGCGTTTCCCCCCGCGTTTTCCCACCAATCGTTGCGCGACGGAGAAATCGAAAATCCCCATCGACGAGCCAAACAGATTCAATACGAAACCGTCGGAAAACTATTCGCGTCATTTTTCTGTCGAAGAATACGCGTTCGGCTACGGCTACATTAGAACCGTTTCCGATCCGATTCGACAATCCCGCTAGCCGGAAGAAAAACAAGACCGTGTAACATTATCGGTAGTGGCTATATTTATTTGCCCGTTTCCGGCGTACCGTCTGGTCGGACACGTCGGAAGAAAAACAAATCGATTTGGTTTTCTGCCGACAAATCGGACAAAATTAGATTATTCGGACCGAATAACCGATAGTTTATAACCAATAATAGTGGGTAATAATCATAAAACGCTTATTCTTAAAAATTGTCAGGGCATTCTCGAACTTTAATACACGTCTTAAAATATTCCACATTTTTTTTAAAAAATCTTTTAATAAATTACGCGTCCAACATGACCCTCTTGTACTATTTCAATATAATATTTTACTATATCCCGTAAATCGTCCCAAATGACACCTGAGCCGCTGGGACATAAATACACGTCGAATAAAAAACACCAATGCGTATTATGTGAACTCTATCAATACGCGGTTGGCACTTTTATACCGATAAATAAATGTCGGAGTAGATAATAAGTGCACGAAATCGGAAACAATGTAACCGCAAATATCGGATGCGTCGGATATGTTAGTCGGGTCGGTCGAATCGGATCGGACGGGAAAGGCGGCTCTAATGTAGCCGTGGCCTTTCGCTCAGAATCTAAAAATACGAAAAATATAAATCGCTCGGTGTGTACTCACGCCAAGAACTCGTCCACTCCTTTGGCGGCGGATTGTTCGTCGGGACCGCCGTCCACTCCTCTTGCGGACACGTCGCCGGGGCCGCCATCGCGGACCCGTATCGCCGTCGACGCGGCGACGCCGTCCGCACGGCAGCCGCGACGGCCGGCGCACAGCCAGAGGACGACGGCGGACAAAAGGGCCGCGCGCGCCGACGGGAAGAACCGGGCGGTCATTGTCGCGGTTTCGGTGGATTCCGTGGTTGGCGGTTTCGCGCGCGGACAATGCTTTTCGGCAACGTTTTCGAACGACTTGCGACGGAAGCCGAAACGGGTCTGGTCGGCGGAGCCGGTGCGCGTCGCGCTATAGGTCGGCGAGACGAAAAAAATTACGCCCACTGTCGCCCGATGTCGCCCACCCGGCGTTTTTTTCGCGTTTTGAACTTTCACGAGTGGCGGCGACGACGAAAACGACGCGAGCGCGGTGCGGTTTTCTTCGGAGGCCGTTTGCGCGCGATTGCTGTCCGAGTCGCCGACAACCGGCCGCGGACAACAACGTTCCACGTACACGACGCGTTCTCCGGGGAAAACTCGCCACCGTTTCCAATCGATTAACGGCGCCCCGACCGGTGTTATTGTATTGGCGGACACGCGTGTAGTTTTTTTTCCTCCTTTGGTTTTTCGGACCGGACCGATATTTTCGTTTCGACCGTGTTCGCTCGTTCGCGGGACGACGACGACCACGGCAAATCCGCTCGAACGAAACGCGAACGTGCCGCGGCGACGACGGCGGGGCTTTAACCCGCGACCTGTATCGGCGAACGGTTACGATTGTGTTACCGCGGAACGCGCGCGGGAGAGAGAAAAAAAAAATTAATAATAACGTACGGCAACGTTAACCGCTCGTTGTAACACAGTCGTAATGTCGCGCGCAACAGGTGCGCGCGATTGTTTATGATAATATTACGCGCGTGTTGCCGCGGCGGTGTTATGGGCGACTCGGCGGCCCGAAAATGCCGAAATCAATTTCGAACGACCGTCACCTCGCGGCCCCGTGCGGCGCGCCGGCTCTTGTCGTACGCTCGCGATGCCGTTTTTATTGTCCCGCCGCGGCCGTTGCGCAACCGACGTTCGGTATTTCCGTCGGGTGGGCTCGCCCGGACCCCGCGGCTCTTCCCACACGAGGACAGCGGCGCCGCGCGTGACCCGGGCCCGGGGCGTGTGACATCTCCAGCCGGACCCGTTGCGAACGAAACGGACGGGAGGGGAAAAAGAATTACTGTTGTTGTCGTATGTTTGTTTTCGTTCTAAAACGAATGACGACCGACGCGCTGCGAAAAAAAAAAAAGACGCGGCGGCGACCCAATTATCGCGCCGGGTCGACCGCGATCACGTTGCGCAGTTGGCCGCGCGCGATTATCGCAATAATTCGTCGTCGTCGACGTTACTCGCGCGCGCGTCCGTCGGTCGTTTACGGATTCGGGGATTCGCCGCGCGCGTATGGTTCGCAAAACGAAACAAACGGGGGAAGGGGGGGGGCGAATGTAAGTCGCCTCCGCGCGAAGATGTCGCGGGCGAAAAACACCGGCGTAAGTTCCGACACGAATAAAACGCACGCCGCGCACTAGTGTCCCCCGTGTAATTATAGTCGCTGAATAAAATCCGGAAAATCCGTTCGTTTCGTTATTTTCCGGTGATTCGGTCGCGAATAACGATGACAATAACTAAAAAGACAATGTCCGATAATCTCCTGTTGGACCGAGAAACGGTCAACCCAAATGTATGCGCCGGCCGCCTTACCAATTCGTTATTCGCAACGTTAAATTCTCGTGCGAAACCTAAGCTCGGAATTTCACGGTACCAATCTCGGCCCGAGCGGAAACAATAGGATCGCCGCGCGCACGCTGTCGGAAAGATCGCTGTTTATTCTTTTTTCGCGCGAAAGTCTGAGGATTCGATATCGTAGAGACGTTACCGTTATGAATTATCAATGAAGACCCGCGTGGATATCAGATTTATTTATTGGAAAATAAATCACACGCGCGGTTCCGTCACGGTTTATAGTCGAGCGCGTTTTATTTAAACATTAGTTGACACTCACGTGAAGTTTAAACCTTCCGTAGCTATAAGCTACACACCGTCCCGAGAATCGTGCGCGAGTAATATCCGGGTACCGTCAGCACACGTTACTGTTTCGTCGTAGATTTTTAATTTAAAAAACCGCGCCTGTGTATGATATATAAACCGAACTGGCCCTAGCACGCTACCCCGAAGGACGCCGCGTTTTATAAGGTTTTCATCGCTTGTAATTTCAATGCGTTTTACTATTTGCGTTCGACACGATATGTCAGTCTATCGTTCTCGAACCGTAGTAGGCCGCGATTATTTTTTTTCCGAAAGTAGATTGAATTTTATAAACAACAGCAATTTAAATCTAGTTGACGCGTTTAAGAGGTTATTATTTGTATTACTTTCGGTGTTCTTACTAATTAGGGGAAACTAACGAAAACAGTTTAATCGTTCTGCTCTTTCGGTTTTGTTTCGTTTTGAATAAACGTAGAGACATTTCGATAAACTACATTTATTAGCCGATTCCGGACGCGGTGTACAATTGTAAGCAACAATAATGGTTTTCTTGAATAATTATAATCTGTATCGCCGAGGTAACACGCGAATAAACAAAAATAAACGAATACATTTTTACATAAACAATTAGACGTTCGTATAAAAAGTACCTAAAGACCAATATAATTCACAGGATTGAGAAAGGAACGTTGAAAACTATCCTATATTTTAAGTTGGACTAAATCACCCACATCGACCATAATCTTATTAAAATCGATTGAGTAGTTTCAGACTCAAACTCGTCGTGCGCATATTAAAATAGGTATATACCATATAGGTATGCTATCGACCTACCTATAATATACGGCTACATAATATAATCTACTAAAGTTTACTAGGATACTAGATTAGAAAATACATTTTTATACAGTTTTTATCGAATAAACGCAAAACTTTGATTTGAGAACAAATTGATTTTGGAATACTTGAAACGAATCCAGAACATCTAACTACCAGGGAAATTATAGCGATTGAAAATGCATCAATTTCAGATGAAAGCAACCGTCCACCGAAAAAATTTCGTTCGTCAATGGCTTAAGTGCAGCGATATCGAAAACGATTTTCCAGTTGATTCAATGGCGTCAGACGCTCGAGTAACTGCGCACTAAACCAATCAGAGAACTGCCGGAAAATGAATGAAACATCTTTTCGTGACCGAGATCCGCTCAAACGGTGGAAAGAAAATGAACATAAATACCCGGCCGTCTCAGTGTTAGGTAAAAAGTACTTATGTAGTAAGTACATACTAGTATTCCACGTGAACGTCTGTTCAGTGAGATTATCGAGATCACGTAAAAAAAGATAAACAGATTGTCACTGCAAGATGGAGTTGACCAACTCAATAACTTAAATAGAAATTCAGACCATACCACAGTAGGAATATATGTAAATTAATTTTACTAATTTTTTTTTTTTTTTATATAATGTCGATTGAGAGTATTCACACCAATCAGTACGCGGAATATGAAAAAAGGATTTTTATGTTTAATAAATTCGATACATTTCGATACGATATCGTCGAAATTCGGGCGATTTCGGTGTTTGTAATTATATCGTTTGCCGTCACTACGTGAATGTGCCGTCATGACGGTGAAACGCGACGTTATTACGTGTCGAAAACGCGATAGTCGCTATAGCTCTTGCGATAGTATACATCGACGCGCGGGCAAGTTTGACAGCGGCTTTCGCGATGTAATTCGATAGTCGCTGTGCAGTGCCGTGCGCACGACGACAATTCGTGACAGTTGTGAATTACGCGATACCGAAAATCGCCCCGCGGACCGGGCCGGAATATCGCGAAACGAGTCGGACGGACGAGACGTCACGCCGTCGTCGAAATCGGCGGCGTAAATCAGCGGTGGTGCGAATTCACATTTGGAATGTGACGATGCGAGTTCAATTGTTTGCACCACCAGGGAATCGTGTATCACGTAACCCATAGTTTCTATTTTCATAGGTCTAAATCTTTTTATCGGACATTTATCCGGATAGATTTTCCTTGAATGTTATAGCGATAAAGTTTTTACCGAGTATGAAAATCATTCAACGCTTGTAACGTATAATATACGCGTTACGCAAAAACGACAAACGGTACCTGCAGAAAAATGAATTTTCGTTTCTAGGCGGTCGTTTACGGAACGAAGTTGCGGCGCTGATGGGTTGAAAACTAGAAGATCCCTCTGCGCCGCCACACATTTAGGCCGATTCACGCGGCCGGGCGGAACCGTTTGCAAAAGGCCTACGTGTGTGACGGGGCAATGATTACCGCGATCGTCGACAGTGTTGTACGGCGAACGGCGGCACGCGCGGGCCGGTCGAGCGGAAATCTCCCGGCAAACGGCCCGGGACCTCTTCCGGGGTGTCGGACGTCGCCGGCCTCCGCGGCCCGTCAAACGCTATCCGCGGGTTACGGCCCGTTGTAATCTCGCGTGCGCGTACGGCCGTTTGTTTCGCGCGCGTTAGTCAGTCGATCGCGTAACGCGATTGACCGGGGCCCTCCCACTTCCGGCGCCGCCGCCGCCGCCGTCTCGGTTTTTCAAGGTCCGCCGTTGCGCAACCACCTGCATGCGTACACTAACCGCTGTTATACCGCCGCAGGTAACACGGGTAACGTTGTTACGGTAGTAACACACCTACCACTCTGCTCCGTGGCGGGCACTTTCGTTTTTATAGCCAAAAAGCCGCCGCCGCCGCCGCCGCCTCTACGAATCGTCTACTTTCACTCGTCGCCGCCTCGGCCGGTTAGTGCACCGTGAATCTCCGCCATGAAACAGCTCGCGCCGTCCGCCGCCGTCATCGCCGGTCTGCTGGCCGTCCAATCGCTCCTGTTGCTCGGCGTCCTGGACGCGCCGGGATTCCGAACGGCCGCCGTGGTCCGGGCCCAGGACAGCCCGTTCGAGTTACCCGTCCAGCTCATCGGTTTCCCCGTCATAATCATAGCCGTCAAGATGTCGAATTTCGTCAAGAAACTCGCGTACGCCCTGAGCCCCAGTGAGTATGATACGTAATCGTTCGTCATTTACGAAAAACGCTTCCCCCGGGTACGCCAGACGGCGCGAAAACGGCACTCGTTTGGGGTCCGAAGTATAGAGACCGGTTCCGAAAGTCCCATTTCGTCGTTTTCGGTTTCACATTGTCCACTCCCGATTTGTGCTTTGATCCCGTTTCAATTCGCTTCGGTTTCGTTTCGGATCGGAGGCACTTTATCGATTTCGTTTGAACGCGTTTGACTTGAAAAAAACCGCGCAATGCGAAAATGCGCACGCCCACGCGCGTTTTCTCGCACGCCAATTCACTCACCCCCCCCCCCCCNCCCCCCGTCTCTCGTCACCCAGACGCGTATCGCCGCCACACGTCGCGGTGACTACGAGCCGTCACTCACGTAACCGCAAACCGGGTAACTGGTATTTCGCGCGTTATACAATATTATATGTTATTATTATTATTATTATTAGGTGGGTATCTGCTGTGGCGTGACTCGGTATCGTAATGCGGAAAGAAGACTGCACACATGCATACACGTAATACGCTATCGGATCCAATACACGACATACTTACCACATATGTTGTTTTTCGCAACGAGTGTATTGTTCGCCACAGCGGTTCATATGCGATATGGTCTTTTCGGACTATTTCACTGCGTCGTGTCTGTTGTAATGCGGAACATTTACCCGCCGCTTTCGGACATTTCTAACGGCTTCCCTCGGGACCAAATGTGCTCGAATTCGGAAAGGTTAGGCCGTTTGTAAACCGGATTGAAGTGATAAAAGATCCGACGGGTTTCGTACATGAATCGTGGAATGTTTCGTGTAGCATTTTACGCCCGTTTTCTTTTTTTTTAGCATTCGAATGTTCGTGGTTTTGCAAAGAATATTTCTATTACTTAAACAAAATAAGTGACGAGGAAATTCGACTTTAATGACGGAACCCATAATGTTGCTCTCGAGCAGTGGTTTTTTTTTTTTTTTTTGTAATCGATTTTGTCGTCACCGAAGTGAAAAACTTTTATTCCGAACCCGGAGAATAATTTATTGTCATTAGCAGCACAATATTTATAATCGCCGCGCGGGAAATAACAGTAATTTATACCGTTTTTCTTTCAATCGCGCGAAAAAGAAACTACGGGACCCGTGTTGTTCGCAGTCGTGTTACAGACGAAATGTCCTGAGGTCAAACACGCTATTGCATGCGCGTCATAGTAGTAACAGTAATAAAATAATAGTAATAGTAACTAGTAATATCAATAGTTTTGATAATAACGTAGTAGTTAATGGTAACAGTTAAGTGGTAATCGCGTAAAAACGTGAAAAAGAAAGATAATAATATTATGTAAACGAGTATGATTATTATACTCGTGTTTCGGTAGTTTCGAAAATGCGCGTTGGTAATTAATAATACAAGGTCCTATTTGTCATTTTCTCAAAGACTCCAATTAAATCCTTCGGCTTTTACACTTTAGCACTCTTTAGCAATGTGAGGACGCGTGAACGAATGTATGTGTAGTGATGAACCGTACTCAACGAGCACCCGGATAGGAGTCTCGAAAGGGACCCCCGACGGTCCCAAATAGATACACGTGAAGTATAACAAGTCGGATTGTATTTGCGTTGTACGAAGATAACGATGAGAGATTATGTTGTAATGGAGTAACTGTCTAGATGAAAATAATTGACGAAATATAATATTGACAGTATTTAGATAAAAATGAATAATCAGCAACATAACGCCTATAGATAAAATACAAAGATGAGTTTTTCATTATCATAGAATCGAAAGTGTTGAAAGTAGTAAAAAATGTCACATCAAGATTTCAAAAAGTCCGTGCGATCGATTTAACTTAATAATAATAATAATAATAATAATAAGTTAACAATATTACAATTATATTAAAATAAATTAAATATGTATGCATTCATTATTTTTGATATGAATGCATAAATTACGGTCTAAACAATTTTGTTTAGATAGATTTATTTAGACGATTCGATCATAGATACATACGGCTCGTATTAACTTCAACAACTTATTTCCCGTTTATCTAGATATGTAATGTATAAGATAAATATACGAGTATACTCATCTAGATAAATTCTAAATATTACACAACACTGATTATTTTAATGTACTTGCAATACATTTTTTATGACGACTCGATTATAGAAATAACATTTTTTTTTTTTTTTTATTTGTATGTTTGCATCTCTGTAATGTACCGTAAAGATAAATCCAGTACGAATAGTACGATCGCCAGTTGCGTGATCATTTAGCCTGTTTCAGCCCTTCAGATTGCTTTACCAGTCCGATGCCCGGGGTGCCTCTAGGAGGTTACAAATATGTAACGCTGTCCACAAAAAACAAAATCGACAACCATTATTATAGTTATCAACGTTTCGAAAATCTGTTGTTTTTATTTTCTGCATTTAAGAGTCTGTATTTACTGTACCGTGGCCATAGCAATAATTGCTGAATTATTTAATTGATTGAAAATAGAAATTAAATTTTACGTTAAACAATGGCGAACAGTTTGGGGAAAGAAAACAGTCAACATAAATTTCATTATATAATAATAAGAACAATAAAATCTAAATTACAAAAAAAAAAAAATATACATTATGCAACAGTATTAAATAGGAAGCCTATATATTAGCCAACGTTAATAATAAAAAAATTAATTAGTTTTTTTGTTGTGTGTTAATTATATTTAGTAGTTTTCCGTTTAATTCACGAACGTCTTGAGTATCCAACGAGACCGTTAATCGCAAAAATCTCAAAGATGTTGTAAGTAGTAACGAAACGTAATGATATTGCTAAATCGTTACTTAACAGTAATATGTAATAATATTTGTAACACATTATGTACGTTGAAAAGTAAAGTATCGAAATACTTTTATCTCTCATGTTTTCCAAAATCTTTATACTCGAATAAAAACGTCACAATACAATAATGTGGACTGTGACTGGGGAGGTCTCGAAATCACGACGTCGAGTTTTTTTTATCATTTATCACAAGTCGGAAAATACGGAGTTTAGCGGAGTATAAAAATTATGGTAAAAAAAAAAAAAATACGAGAAAATATTATTGTTCTCCCCCACAACAAAACAATAAATCCGACCGTGACGTATAGTGCCACACAACCGTACGATAATAAATCTATAACATTCTTCTTGAAATCCCAACGACCAAAAAATCTGATGATGAAAAATGTCCATAATTAAATATTTGTCTAAACCCTCAGCTATATGCTGTGGTAACTTTCCATCCGTCCATCTATCAAGGGTTTCTAAAACCTCTAAACGAAATGAGATGTCAACTTCAAATTCACACATGATATCATTCATAACGGCCACTCGGACAGCAAAATATGTTAAAATTAGTTAAAATTATGCAATAGGAAAAAAAATGTATTTACGAACTCGGCGAACGAATTTACGAGAAAACGTATAAAATTATAAACTATACTTACATAATATCGTTGTGCGAGGTTAGTAACACTAAGTCCGGATAATTTCTGATCAGAGTATCTCACTATTTTTGAAACTGAGCTATGCGAGAAATATATTAGTTTTACAATTATGTGATATTGTTTTCTATCTGTGAACATCTTTTCGATTAGGAATCTTTCTCCGATTTTCATGTTCAACATTTTTTAAAAAGCAAATTTTTCGGCACATTGAGAAGATCATTTTTAATTTCCCTTGTATTTTTCTTAATAATTAGGAAATTCAAATGTAAAATGTTCAACAAATTTTAACGATATTCGTGCTTTTTATAATATTTATAGGTATTATAAATTGTCTTGTTTTTCTAGTTTTAATTTGGTTTTATGCGAGTATAATTTTCTTGGCCTAGTTAGAGTAGCCTAGAGTGATCTAAAATGTAACACGAGGTTCATCGTATGTTGTATTTTGTGATAAAAAAAAAAAAAAAAATTAAGCGTAATGCGTGTATAATAGAGCTCTGCAAGGGTCTATATATTTAGGCTCAGTTGGCCAGTACCCCAATATGAAAAGCCCGACCAATTGGAACCCTATACTAATGTTATTTATGAAACCATGATAAATTTTTAATTACAAATTAAAACCCCTCGGCTCACATATTATAAATACGTGGTTCGGCTCGACCCTCTGCACCATGTAGGCCCGGCTCATTTGTCGAGCCCAGTCGAACTTATCGTAGGTAGAGTAGTAATAATGGCACTCGTAATCTAGTGTCAGTGTCGTATCTAGAATTTTTTTTTTTGGGGGGGAGAAGGCTTATCAGTTACACATTGCCTATTGTATTTTATTACAGTATATCACATTAAAATTAAAACAATAGTTTAAGATTTTTCGAGGGGGGGGGAGGCCGTAGCCTCATCAGCCCTCCCTGGATACGCCACTGGCTAGTATTATTTGAAAATTCGTAAAATTGTAAAGTTTACAAATCACGTCTCAGCAACACCATCTGGCGGGCTCGCGTGGACTTGTACGCGGCTCTAATTTATGAAACCCAAGCCGTCAAAAATTAAAAATTATAAAACGAATCTCATCCGGTACGGGCCGTTTGTAAAAAATACGGACCATACCTGCCCGGCCCGCGCAGAGCTCTAGACCGTATACAGTAATGTGTGATGGTTAACCGGGTGCAGTGCGATTTAGAGTTCAATTAGTGGACGCTCGGTCGAGTTTAATTAGTCGTTTTAGTGACGATCCGCTCTTATATTGCGCATCGTACACACACGCAAACACACATACACGCGATCAAGAGCATTATAATTCAACACACTTACATATTCACATTAGTTTGCGGTACTTTAGACGTGCACGCATACAACCCGCGCGGTACGGTACGCACTTACTTACGTCCGCACGCACGTGCGGCAGAAGACGGCTCACTAATGGACCCAAACACTCGGCCCGACGACTCGACGGTCACGTGCTACGCGTCGTCGTCGTGGCCGCGAAGTTACGCAAAAACCGTGTTTCGTATGTTATAATAATCGTACAACAATAATAAATAATGATAATATGTAAGTATATATTATACGGTCGTTTTGACATTACGCGCGTGTGTATGTCCATAGAACACAATGACGTTGCGTAAAATTTCGCCCAAACGGCTGTAATATAGAGTAGACGCTAGTATACAGAGTGATCAACATATTGTAACGTAAGACGCACTCATTAGCTCGGAGTGTATCGACTCTTGTCTTTGGTTAATTTAAAAGATCACCGATTCCAAAATGTTACATTATTACCTTTTGCAACCTATCTATACATACATATACAATGTACTAACAGTTTCATACACGGACGAAGTTTTTTTTAGCTTGAATATATTTTGGTCTATTCCCCAGTGGATATTCCGCTTTTAAGTATTTTCGTGTTCGAAGAGCAGGGGAACAGAAGTGGAGCGTCTTCCTTTGATCGTGGTTTCATCCCCGAGAATAAAAATGACAAAAAACCGGTAAAGTAACGTTTTAGATCCACTCGTTTCTTAAATGTTCTAAAAAATATATTCCGATAAAATTCAACACTTTCCGAGATAACGAGTGTCTCGCGTCGTTGTGATGATCACTCTGTATGTAGTAATAATACTTACACTTACGTTATAATACATATTTTATTATAATATACGTACGTAAATATCGCGTATAGAAACGTGTACTGTATTGGGGATCGGGTATGTCATTAACGTGTGCGGACATAAACGGTTTACACCTAATGAGGATTAGCCTGGAGTATCAAAAAAAAAAAAAAAGACAAAAACGCAAAATCACCAAACTAACTACTAACTACTATGGTACGTACATATAGTACCTATTCGATATTCGTTTAACCTATAAACATTATTCTGTTCGTACGATCTTACCGAACTGTGTCGCAATGCAAGTTCACTGCACGGGTCGAATAATTAATCAAATTGCTGAACTATACTTTCGAGCTATGGCTGTGAAGTTGTTTCATGGTCGGGCTCGTGACAAAATAGATTGGTATGACCATAGTTCGTTGATACACACACTCCGCTCATATATTCGTTCACTTTACCGACTACTGCAGTTTTTCATTTTTTTGGCTAATATTAACGCGGTATGTACGAACAGTGATGAAAAACTGCAACATAGGTCGAATGTGGAATAGATACGCATACTGAACGAAAACGTGACACAATCTGATCATATCTATCTATTTTTGTTCATGCTTATGCCGACACAAGTTGAGTTGCATGTAAAATAGAACAGTAATAGCCGACTTGCTTTACTTACTTACGTATTATTGCTCCGTGTGAATCGAACCATATAGTACGCAACTACTATATCGTTTCGTAATATCGCATTTTGTATCATCTCATATCGGTCATATTTTTCGCAGGCACCTACAGAAGAAAGGCCAAGAGAGATTTGACCGCGTCGAGTCCGGCGTTCCCGGCAAGTGTGGACGTGCTCAAGGCCCAGGAGATGATCCTCAAAGAAATGGGTCCGGACGTGTGCGTCTTCGAAAAGGTCTGTTCCGAGTATGCCGAAGCGTCTGCTCTGGCCAAAAAGAATCATAACAATAAGGACGGCAAGGACCACATGGACTGGGAAAAGATCATCAGGTGTGTATTACAATATTAGAGAAGTATGTTATTAAATTTCTGTATCAGGTAGTTCATACATTCGTATATAAAAAATAGACTCGTACTACCGGTAATCCTCAACGGCCCATTTTCCCTTCTCAGATCATCTTAACTGGATGGAAAACACTTTATCGCGTTAAAAATATATGACCTCTGTACGGACCATTTAATACAATTTTTAAACAAAATTAAGGCTCTACGCGTATTTGTTATGTCTATATGTCAGGATCTCACTATTTCTTTTCCTAATTTAAAAAACTTATCGTACATTTATTATATTGCGAAATTGTGTGTTTATTTCCTTAAACGGGTGCCGGACACGATACACAAATATACACTTAACAATACGTGAAAACGACTCTGAGTTCAAAAACCCGAAAACAGATAGGCAGCATGAGTATAGTTCCACGATAATTTCAACAAATTCAAACTATATTTTTAATGACAAAGACACGATGTCGTTTTCACCCGGACAAATCGTGTTTTCTATTCTATTGTTTTTTTTTTTTTCTAGCGGATACATGGAAACCGGATCGGCCAAAAAGAAATACTACATGTTGAGCGTGTTCTTGGGAGACGTGCTCGGTTCCCCCGAGTTCTGTTCTCGGATCGTGCGAAAAATTAAACGGTGCGAAGTAAAATTGCACATTGCCCATTAGACGCCAGCTACCAACAACAGGAAGTGACTGATGTTAAAAAAAAAAAAAAAACCTATTTATTATCATACGTTTATCATTATACCTAAATGTAATGTTTTCGTTTTCATTTTATCCAAAATATCATATGTTAAGCGCCATCCTAATGTGTAAATAATCAAAATATTATGTAGGTTTTTGTAGCTATAATAACGTTAAATATTATACGTGACATTTTAATGTAATATATTTAACATTATTACAACATACATCGACGGAATAATCGTATATATCTATAGACATAGAACGTTTCGCCAAACAGATAATAACAAGGAGAATGAGCAATTATGAGTAATAAGTTTTAAATTTTGTTTTCTGTTTTTAGTGCGGACTAATAGATTTGAACTCGGAGATTTTTTTTTTTTTTTTTTTAATTTTTTATGTCGACAACTTTCTACGTTGTTGGCGCGTAAATCAATCCGCGAAACGGTGGCGATTAATGCCGATTATCGTCTAGCCCGACTGTCGGTGATAACTTTCAACGGGAGAAATCGATCTAACAGACCAATTTGTATGTACGGTATACTACGGACATTGGCGTATTTACAGGGTCGGATTATGGGAATAGTTCCGCCACCATGACTTTTGTTTTTTTTTTTACAAAATATATTATCAAATTGTATTAATGTAATAATATACATAGGTATTTTTAATAAACTGATAATTTTGAATTCATCATGGTCATCGTGGTAAAACAATTGTGTCTTATCAGTTAAAAGTGATATCATCAACCATGGTTTACGGTGTGACACGTATAGGATAGTATTACTCTACGGCGTGACCGTAGCAACGACGCAGCTTGCAGTCTGGTATAGAATACGTTAACTATGAATCTATAACCATACTATCCGGTTTCTGCAGCTATCGAAAAACATAGTTTTTCCTTCCTCCCTCCCGGGATCTTTAAAGTAAAATGTCCGTCGTCGTCCCTCCCCCAAGATAAAATCCCAAATACGCCACTGAAAACCGGGTCATCCAAAGCGTGGCCGGAAATTTTCAAGTGGATTAACTTGGCGTTGAAAATTTAAAAGCCAGGTCCAAAAAGCCAAGTTTCAAATCAAAGTTCTCCTATACAGCGACTTTGCTGCGAAATATAATGTGCACGTAAAGATTGAACATAACTAAATGAACACTCGTAGTTTTTACGTTCAATGGCCAAACGGGAGGGGTGACCTCTAATCGCTAACCCCGCGCGCGTCGTCGGGGTCGTCATGTTATAATAATAGATTGTAATTGTTTATTATTTTTTTTATTTTTATTTTTTTTTCGTATTATCATAATATCTCGTAAATATTGGGCTTGTGCATATAACGACATCGTTAATAATATTGAGCGGTATTACGGAAATCGTAAAACTACCGCCGCCGCAGAAGATGTCGCCCAGAGACGGCCGTAACTCTTCGGGTAATTACCTCGAAAATCGTCCACGCGTCACGGGTGTTTCTTTTTTTACTATTTTTTTTTTTTTTATTTTTCATCGTTTTCGAGGCGCACGCGAGTGTACGTCGTCGTATAATACTACGCTGACCGGGCACGTGCCAACCGTCTTGACCGAGAGCGCCGCCGTTCACAAGTGCGCGGTGATTTATAGTTTTTTTTTTTTTTTTTTTTTATTGTTACACTTGTACCTATATACGTAGGTCGTATTATTATTATTATTATATATTTTACCGAAACGGGCGATAACATTTTGGACGGCCAGCGAGACCGTCTTCGGGTCCGGAGAGCCGCCGGCCACGGCGAAGACGACGATTTATGGAAAATAGTAATGACCCCTTCGACCGCGTCGTCGTCGTGCCGTGGTCGGGCGATGGCTCAAAGAAAAAAGAAAAGAAAAAAAAAAACGTGACTTATTATATTATTATCCAGCCCGGGAGAGTCGAAATTATAACAACAACGTCAACAACGATAACAACGATAATAATAGTATTTTTAATGCGACAAAATCACCGTCTGCGTCAATCGTATAGCGCGCTTTTTATAAGAACGGGTTTTTCTTTTATGTATAAAAACTATATATTTATGTATACATCTCAACTCCTATTGGCGCCGAAGACACACACACAGTCGGGTAAACGAAAATTCGAATATGCCCAATGCGAAATTTCGAATGCGACCAATTCGGACATTTTTTTCACCGATTACTTTGATTGCCAACTTGATTAAATATATTGATAAAAAAAAAAAATAATAATAACAAAATTGTACACTAAAATATTATTATATTTAGGTATATTATAATTTATATTATCATTATTGTAATTAGCACAGTTATTATCATTTTTAGTTCTGATCGAGGTGTGTCTTGTAAATCATAATTGATTTCTTAAAATTTAAAAAATTATTGAGAAAACAGCCATTAGAAAAATATTGTTCGGGAACAATAATTGCATCGAATAACAATACCTAACCAATGGTTCTTATATTCCCAGACTAATATGCGGCTTGCAACCCTTTGGAATAATATTTCCCGTAGCAATCGAAAATCTCGATTTTTAATATGAGACGAAATCGGATGCATACTTGTTATGACCGGACGCAATCGAAACTCGAGGAGGTTAGAAGAAATTTCAAAACGGGACGCAATCGGAAGACGCCCCCGCGCCGTCACCCGAGGTAACCGTTATGTTTGGGATATAGTATGGCAAACGGTTCTCCGAATTTTCTCAAATTCAGCGACAATTTTCTTTCACCTTTTAATGGCCGCCTTAAACGATAAACTTTTTCCTCGATAGTCTTTATCGTCGGATACCTGTTTAAGGAAAAGGAGCACGGCGGTAGAAAATGTAACGAATTTCAACAAGTGCTTATGGATGTAAAGAAAACCGTCGTTTCTCTTAGTTAAGATTTAATTTGTATTTCGCCGCACATCTATGTTGCGAATTCATCAAAGATAGTCAAACGGAAGGGGGGGAGGGAATATCCTCCAAACATCTCATTTTTCTTAAACCGTGTAGTGATTTTGAATCACGTCGAAGCCCGTTGAATGCGTGAATTCAAATTCGGTTTTTGGAAATTTTCAAGTGTTGTGAAAGACAATATTTTCGAATATTTCAATTTTTCACAACACTTAAGGAATATTCCGTGACAATACCAACTTTAGTATTTCAAATGAGGGTTGGTTTTATATGTTATGTATAATACTTTTATTCGTATATAACGATATCGGTTATAACGATAATCCGGATATAGCGATGTTGTTTTAAAACGAAAATTCGTTTTTATAATCACCCATAGCGATTAATAATATGCATGTACATTGTACATTGTGTAGTAAATTTGATTTCGACCGAATCGATAATTCTTAATCTTATCTGTAACTGATAATGTGTCTTGTACGACCGTGTTGTATACAGAATACCTACGTTTCTTAGTCGTTTAGTTGCCGTTTTGACAAAAATGTGTTTGATAAATCAATTTTTCAAAAAAATCATGTTACTTTTTATGATCCGGATATAACGAAGTTCGGCTATAACGATGAGATTCCCTAGGTCCCTAGAAGATCGTTATAAGCGAATTTGACTGTATTTTAATGCAAATTGTCAATCAGACGATTTTCCTGAAAATGTTGACGTATTATAATCGAAATTTGAACAAAAAGTTTCTGAGTTGTTTTACTTTAAATATTAAAAGATAATAACTGCACATAACAAGAAATTGCCTATACACGACTCCTATGAAACAGCCGGTATCCAATCGCCATGAAAAAAAAAAATATATTATTATCCTTAGTATTTAAAGTAGAAAAACTCGGAAACTTTTCGTTTAAATTTTAAGTATTTTTTTTTTTTTTTTAAATATAAGTATTCAAAATTATTGTCTTTCACTACACTCAAAAATTTGAAAAATCAGAATTTTAATATGCGTAATCGAACCATAAATATGGGGTGTGCATGCTTAAAAAATTATTCTGTATAATAAATTATAAATATATATATATATATGTAAATAATATTAAAAACTATCCTTATCCTTAGCCACTGGGATTGATAAAGCTTTAATTATCAGGTACACTTATTAGGAAATAAATAAAGAGGAAAAAAATGTTAAAATAATTTTTTTCATTTCATTTCGTATGAAACATGTGAGTGAAATCGATAATTTGAAAATGTTATTATTGTAAAAAAGGAACGTCATTAATAACGCATAATAAACTAAATTCGTTTCTTAGTTTACAGATAAGAACTTCTTACATAATGCAACGGGAGTATAGTATTATAAAAATCATAAAACCTTTGTTTAGAAGAAAAACGAAATTTCGTTTATTATGAATTTTTATATCAATTTTCTTAAATATGAGACTCAACTCATGGGTTTGTTGGCGAATCGTCTAGGTTGTTCATAGGAAGTCGGGTTTATGATTTAAAATTTGACGTTTCCAAAATAAGTATACAAATGTGATATGATTGTTCTACACAGTAGCGGCTCGAAGGAGGTATAAATCAATCACGTGATTCGCAAAAAACCGGATGAGGGTGCCTAGATGTTCAAAAATATAAAAACAATTATTATGTTTCTGCAAAATACAAATCATCAAAAGAATATTTTAAATTACGAAAATGTAATAAAATTGACAAATGTTATTGAAATTTAACAAATACATTCAATACATTTATGGTAGGGTGGTATTTTAGGTTGGGATGGGTTAGTGGAAAACTAAATATGTGATTCAAGGTAAAAACAATTCAATTTGCCCCTGGTTCCACAAAAAAAAATAACTTAATTTCGGAAGTCTGAAAAATTGAATATTGAAAATAGACTTCCAAAATAAGTACATGTCTAATTTCCTAGCGCTTTTATCGGTCTAAAACATATGGCAAATAAGTGCGGTTCATCCAACCGCCTTAAATTCGATCGGCACAACACCAACGACTACTCCGGAGCAAAATCTATATAATATTATTTTTTGTCCGCAATATTTTTACCGATTGGTCTTAACTTAATAATATAGTGTTGAATTCCACATACACGATTTGGTCGTTTCGTTAAAAACGTGTTTAGGAGTCGGCACGGTACCCGCGGGGAGTCCGAAAATCTATAGGTGTATAATCCGATTACTCCGTCGTATCTTTAGAAATTGGGAAATCAGAGTCCCGGACGTATAATAATATTATACAATAGCCAGCGCAGGTACCCGAAGCCATGGCTCTCTGATTTCGCCCCACCAGTGTACAGTCTGTAAAACATAATAATTGCAGGTGGATGACGCACGCGTATTTTTTTACTCCGTGTTTATACCCTATATGGAAAAAAAAATAATAATGGTACAAAAAAAAAAAAAGAACAAACAAAACTCAATTTACCAAACATGGGGAAGGACAGTGTAAGAAAAAAAAAAAAAAATTCCGAAATCTGAAATTAATGAAATAGTAATAATAACAGGTAGCTGCGTTATTCCGTCCTGGAACACAATATTATTATTTAGAACGGTATTTTAGGTATCGTTCAAAATCGCCAAACGAATAACGAGAGAATAATATTTTTACAACGGGCGAAATAAGTCGAATAAAATATTGACTGATCATTTATTGGCCATCGATAATATTTGCGAAGGTACTTAATAGTAAATTATACGAAAAACCGAAGATACTTTGTAACCCAGCGTCGTCCTTTTAGAGGTGTCTGAGAGGCCGTCTACCACGCTCCCAATCATAATTTTTAAATATTTAGTCGCA